ACTTGTGCTATGGACATTAATTATATACCTCAGATCATTTGACTCTTTGGAGAGCTGAAAATAATTTTTCAAAATGGCCAGGCCTTTAATCGGCTAGCAACCATTTTACAATAGTGCAACATTGTGGTGCTGCTGTTTGCATGGATATGCACCACACAAGATTTCATGCGTTTGCTAGAAGACTGTTCAGTTGTTACTCGACAAGTGGTAATGTAATCAACAATTTTCCACTGATTATAAGTTAGCTGATTAACTTAACAAAAAGCAGCTTTCTACAATTAGGTCAGAGAAAAACAAATCGGCTTTACACAACAGCAGCAATTTCATATGTAGCTTAATTTTATAAAGCAAAAATTTGGCCAAAATATGTGAAAAACTACCTGATTAAAGCTTCACTACCACAGGACTACTCGTCACTTTGATTTTTGATTTACTTGCACGGCTAGATTTCACCTAAAAGAATGAAACATACTGTTACTGGTCATATCAAAATAACCTAAATAGTCCCAAGTGATACTAAAAGTATATTTCAAGGAAACTTTGAAAAATAGAAGCAGTTGCATCTCACCATATCCTTTAGAATTTTCTTCTGCAGAATATAAATGACTTGCTGTCTGCTAAACAACCTAATGGAAAAAATAAATAGCTTTTAATTGTACTTTTTCATGGAAATGAATACATTACGAAATACAATTAGCAAGTAATAATTATAAATTTGGCTATCATGTCTGTTTTCAGCCTATAAGTGACTATACTTACATGTCTATGGTTTTAGTAAACACTAATTTCACATTTTTATCATGTGAGCTCTTCGATTTTATGACAAATTCAGATCCTACCAATTGTAGGAATACAGCACAATGTTTGTGAGGAATGAGACTCAACATTAGCATAATTTGACATTATTACACTATTCTGAATTCTAGCATGGGATCAAGCAAGTGTAAATTGGTCTAAATTTGCATAATGGAAGGGATGTAAAACAGATCAATGTGCAAATAAATTTATTCAAAATCTACCTGTAAATACAAATGCATACCGGTGGTGTAAACCACTACAATCTAATCACAACCCATCTACTCTGGACATTAAAATATCCTACCGTGTCTTGGGCCTGGTTGTTGTTGTCTACATTCAAGTGAGATGTTGATGCACACAGACATGGCCTTTTCCATGGAGGCTGATATGAAATACGAAATATGAATATGCTAGTATTTCGTAGACATTAATGAGGTTAAAAACAAACAGCTCATTTGAATATTTCTTGAGAGTGTAAACACAAGAATGCCTGTCCGGATACAGAATGGAAATGGTTAGAGGCAGACGTGTAGCATCTGACAGACTGACCTTATGAAAAATTCTTCACTTTTCTAAAGCCACAATATATTCTTTATTATTTTCAAACCATGTTCGTGTGGTGAGTCTGAAACCCAGTATGCACCCTGAAAGGTTAACCTCACTTCGCGTTTACTGAAAACACAGCAAAGAAAGGTGATCCAGTTAGCGTTTGGTCATACGACAGTTTTATGTTTGTATTCAAATGAGAATCAAAATCACATCTGAGATGAATCCATATTTTCACATTCACTGTAAACATATACTCCCATTCACATCAAAATCAAAAAGAACAATTCTAAAAGTTTGACCATAGAGAAGATTAACATGCTGTTATCTTTTTTCTTTTAAATATATATACGCAATTAAATCACATTGATAAATTAATTCCACGTATAACAATTCATAAAATGAAAGGAACTAATAATAAAACATTAAAACTAGGAAATTTCATACATAAATATAATATTGCAACCTGATATTGTGCATATCGCTGGAACGACCATTATAATTCAAAACAACCAAAAATATTTGTGAAGTATGAGTGTGTGGCTGGATTCTACAGGAAGTGATGTGTTTGTGTGTTCGAGGCAAACAGGAACTTTTTATATCTCGGTAGTTCTGTATTGACATCATTAGTTGGTGTGGGCTTTTACATTTTCTACACCTTCTCGGAGTCCCTTACGCCCACAAAAAAGACGGTATACCTCTTTTTCTGTCACTTCCCTGCATTTCTTTTCCTGCAGTCTTCCTCTCTATAACACAATAAATACACTTGGCACACCCTTTTCAAATATTTGGCAGTGTAGAAAACTGTAAAAATTGACTATCACTTTTTTCTATATTCTAGACAACTATAGAAATATGCTCAAGATGATCAAATTTAGATGAATGAACAATGACACTTACTACACTGTTGTGCTGTGAGCAGAGGAGTGTCTTCCTGCGTTTGCGCTCTGCATGCAGGCAAGGTACGGACGGATTCAAGGGAGGGGAGGGTCAAAGACTTTTTCCACTTGGTGTCCTCAGAGACACGAACGAGTCACAGGCCTTGTGTGCATCGAGTTTTCCTTCTCTGAAATTATCTAACGTACTTGATTTCAGAGATTACACCCGAGACTAATCATACAGGTAGTGCATTTTGTCACAGTTCAGGCTGGAATGGAAATCTAATCTTTGAATTCTGAGCAGGCTTTGTGGACCGTGCTTCAACGCAGCTTTTACATCGAAATGCATTCGTACATGCATTTATAAGCCTTTCAAACAGTGTAACAGATGTTCTGCCGCCTTTCCAAAAACTCAATCAGGTTTGGATCTGCTAAGCGATTATTTATTTTAGAGCATGTGATTGCGTGCAAGTGCACGCCTGTCATTTATGCCATTACATTGTATGTGGTACTCAGTTTTTTTTGGTCAAGAGAGATTCTAGTTTATACCTAACGCTGTCCTTTCAGTAGTTTGAGATTGTTTGTGCCTCTTGCATGTGCATTTGTATTTTTGTTTGTGTAAAAGTGCAGAATGTGGGAATTCACTCATGTTTTTATTTACTACATTTTTTGGTTGTTCGTGTTGCGTGAAAAAGGAAACTCCTTGGAGCTGCCCCTGTACTTCCAAGCAGCTTTTGCTGCTCTTCCTTCGCTCGAAGGCGCGAGAGCGTCCTGCCCACCATTTTTGATGTTTTCTGGAAGACACAGAGCTGCTGCTCGACTAGAGGGGAGGACCTGATGTAAAGTTGAACTCTGACTTCTGTTCAGAAAGATAAGTCCAAGAAGGGAAACAAAATATATTCCAGACTTGCTTGCCTTATAGTCAAAAAGCTTTACAATCCCGCCAAGAGTTCCACGGTTAAGCCATATCCTGGTGGAAATATCCATGCATGTCTTTTCATAGTCTTCCATACCACGTTGCACTCTCTCCATCAGACATCAGACTCGATGCTTGGCATCCTCTTGTAGACACGCCGAGCTCCCCCAGCGCTCATTGCCCTGGGAGCGGTGTATGTGCCGACAGGGGGAGGGGCTACATAAGGCATGACATGCTCGGAGTAATAGAGGTCAGGGGTCGGCATCCCCACGCTGAGCATATTGCCATCGGCTTGGCCTAATGTGAGTGGCACGAGCTGCTTATAAATGTCTGTGGAGCTGCGGCCGTGAGCTAGACGCTGGTCATCGCGGAGTGTCTGGAGAAACGGGTTTTCCGTTGGGCGTGCCGGATACATCGACTTGCTGCGACGACCGATCCCGAGTCCGCTGACGCCCACCCCCGCGAGCGTGTGGTTTAGGTGGACAGACTGATTTTTTGGGGGCTTGTCTGGGATCAGAGTCGCCGAGGGAACGTTGGCATATGGCGTGTTGTCCTGCAGACTGACCCGCCGTGAGGAACTCTTCTGGGGCAGGTTCTCGTACGAGTGCTGGCGGATGATTACGCCCTCGTTCTGGTAGTGACTAATAAGACCGTCACCCTCTTGGTCACTCTGGGGAAGATAGGCTGTGAAGGAAGCATCAGGCTGAGGGAGAAAAGGAGAGAAGGCCCTGTCAACACTTCCGCCGCCAGTGCCCCGTCCATCTGGATGGAGGAACTGATCCTCGCTGATGTCGTACAGGTTTGCGGAGTGCAGACAGGCATCGCAGCGATACTGAGGGGACCGTACAGTGTAAAGCCCAGAGTAACTGGACACTTTCGACAGGCAGCTACGGCAGTGTGTCTGTCGTGGATCCTGAGTAGAACCAGGCCCGCCAGCGATGGTCCCTGCACCGCCAGGCTTTCCGTACGTGTTGTATTTCTTATCCTTTGAGACGGCGGTTTGCATCACGTCCGGTTCGTGGACCTGTGAGAGCAGACTGCTGTTGAGCTGCAGGATTGGCTGCTGCTCGGAGGAAGAGGACAGCTGGTGCTTGTTATCGCGGTGATCGCTGAAGATATCTGGGTAGTGCAGGCCATGCTCCTGATCAATGGAGTCAATGGTATAAATCTGACTCCCCTGGCTGCTCTGAGAGTAGATCTGAGCGCTGTGGTTACTCTGCTGGCTGGGCTGGCTTCGCAGAGTTGAAAGCTCCACATCGCTCAGATCCCGCGGTAGGCGGGTCCGTTTCCGAAGCGTTTCTTTTAACTTGTGCTGCTTTTGCAAGTCCACCCGACCGGAGCAATCTGACACATCCGAGCGGGCAGGTGCATCTTCAGGCAGGTAGCGCTGGCTCTTCATAGGTAGGGTCTCGGTGGGCTGCGGGGTAGATGGAGGGGAATTACCCCCAGGACCTTGGTTCTGCCGCAGAGTCTCCACAGACTTCTTCCACAGAGCACGTGGCTTGGAGGCTGGAGGTCGAGCGGTCTCACCTCCGCCTCCTGAGCCACCGTTTCCAGCAACACCTGGCTGAGCATCCGTCAAGCTCAGGGCACGTTGCCCTGGCAACAGAGTATTGTTAAGTGGCTCTTTGTGACGGTTGCTGAGCATGGTGCTGGCATTGCTATAGGGAGCATTTTTCTGGGTGAGGTTGTTGCCTTTTGCTCCATCCATAATCTCCAGCAAGCCCGTGGTAGGATGGAGAATGCTACTTACGGACTGTTTGGGTGAGGTAACTCCGAGGGTGGTGATCTCTTTAGCCGATTTCAGAAGGTGTAACATGTTGGCCTGAGGGCTGAAGCCCAACTCTGGGGATTTCTTCATCTCAATGTGGACACCGTGAATACAACTCCAAATCCCCTATAGGTGAAACGGAGATGGAAAGGTTAACAAAAGAAGTTCATAAGTGGAGGCTAACAACAAAAAGTATATATTAGTACAATATTTCTCAATATAGTCCCGCTGTATTTTTTCTGGAGTCTGAAACTCTATAAACCGATGAAATAAAAGTAATATATCCCGCTGTGACAAACAACCGCACCCTGTAACTCATTTCTAGAGACAGTGGCTTGTGCTATTATAATCTGTTATATAAGCTCTTTCTTATTTCGCAGCAAAAAATGTGTTTGTCAGCACATAAGCAGCAATCCCTACACTGATGAAGCTTTAAGACGACTGTGGTAAACAGCCACCATGACAAGTTAATATGTCAAGATTGAGCAGATAATGGTTGCCTTCAGCAACAGAACCTCTCTAGTCAATTTACCATAGTCTTTCTGTGACATACCCTGCTGATAGTGAAGAGAATTCCTGGCTGACCAGAACAGACACCAGTGAAACAGTAACGTAGCCTCCAGTAGAAGAGGTGCTCCCAGACAAAAGTAATTAGCGACAGAGCCATGGCAGCCGCGAGCATATAGAACACACCAGCCATATTATCCACATCCAGCTGACTGCTCATCACTTCATTCTTCTCATTATGACAGATACCAGTCAGCCACTGGGCCTCCAGCTCCTCCATCTCACCTAATACACAACACAACATCACACAGTTAATGCTTATGCACAGACTCACAGAAAAAAAACAGGCTCACGTTCTGGCTCTGTTCCAAACACTAGCGAGCTGTTTACCTGGGCTGCATTTTTAAGCATTTCAGGCAAGCTCCTGATGCAAAGGCTGTTAAATAGGCAGCAAAATAATGTTGCCTTGTGAAATGAAAAATAAACTGAATAAAAAAAAGATATTTTTAGTTACAGTTTTTTATTAATCTAAAATAGCAGAACAGTTAAATCTAAAAAAACTACACTGAAAAAAAAAGGTTAAAAAAAAATAAAAAAATTTATACTCTGAATATTTTTTGATTAATTCAATGTGAAATGTTTAAGTAGAAACACTGAAATTGTATTTTCTTGTAAAAACACAAAATAATCTTTATTTGCAACTTTATTTTATTTATTTGCATTTACCCGTTATTTCACTCTCTGGAATACCTAATTCTGATTGGTTGCTTGCAGCATTCTGCAGTCAATTGTTTTTTTTATAATGATGACAGCAAATTGCATATTTGACCTCTGGTCCCTGGCTATCAGTCTCCTAGTCTCTTATGTTCACCAAGGTTGCATTTACTTTATCAGAAATACAGGAGGAAAAAATGTAGTATTGTAAAATATAATTACAATTCAAAATAACGGTTTCCTATTTTAATATATTTTAAAAAATGAGAATCAGTATTTCATGTTCAAGGTCAAATCTATTCTAATCAACTGAATGCACTTCATGATATTTATATTGCACATCTGGGTGTGCGTTTTATCTCTGTGTAGTGTGTTTCAAATCAATCATTTATGAAGTTACATTTCATTTAGGATGCTGCATACTGTAGAGAGCAAGGAATCTCACTACGGTAAGGAACAGAGCTAGTGTTTAATACAGAGGTCATGAACTAAGTGAAAAAATAGAAAAGAAATGCAGGAAAACACTTATACCATCTCCAATGATCCCGAGGATAGCAAGGTCAACCAGCCGTTTCCAGTAGGATCCTTTCTGCAGGGCAATGCCATATCCTGTTGTGGCAAAGATGTAGCCACTGCCAATAGTTACTAGCTTACAGCCATCATCACGCCCCGCCATATAGTTGAGCACAGCCGCGTCATATATGAAAGCATCCAGTTTACTGTACAAACCAACAAAGCACACTTAGTGGCTTATGTATACAGAAATATCAACATTATGTATACCAGAAGTATTCTCGTTGACCATGCACTGCTAATAATGTGCATATCCCAGCCGTACCCCGTCTTGAGGCTGACCAGTGCATCCTGAACTCCAGTCTGATGGTATTTCACCATGTACTGGTGCATGTCTGGGTAGTTTTTCCTGATGTTTCGCTCTGTGCTCCCATTAGGCACGGTCCCGAAGCGAAACGGTGGTGAATAGGAATAGGGACTCTGAAACTAGAAAAGATAGAAAAAAAAATACATCAATTACACGAAGAACAGTGAGGGCAGCTTTAAGAGATACATGGACAGAATCAATACAAGCTCAAATACAGAAACATATACGGGGAGATAAACCTAGTAACTGGTGTAGTTCAGACGCTCCATCTTGTAAATTTATAATGACATACGGATGCTTTCTCAAAACCTAGTGAGCTGCCAACTAGACAGCACACTGTAAAATATGTTCCCTTTCATGGGAACTTCGAACTGCGTCCTCTAGCGACCCCTAGAGGACGCAGTGTCTCGTTCCCTACTCAGGGAACCATGGTTACATATGTAACCTGAGACGTTTTGTCAGGTAGCCTGAGAAATGTGCTTCATGTGGTAACATCTAAATTAACTGGTTTTATTCAAGTCAGAGAAATTATTTATTACGACTTGAATGAACCGGAATACATTAGTTTACACTAGCAAAAAAAAAAAAAAAAAAAAAAAAAGGTAGAAATAGCTTCCTATAGCACCAACTGCATATTTTTACTTTTTACAGTGTGTGTCATCCATAGATAAGGTAATCTCACAATGGATTTGTGCTGAGCTCAGCAACAAATAATCACTAAGATGGCTGACAGAGCCAGAGTAAGATGATGTCTATAAATGTAGGTATATATTTATATTAAGTTAGAACTTCAGTGTCAACAAGACGACTGCTGTCAGGGGGAGTATGCATATATTTTCTCAGGGGGCGCCAGTGCCCTAGGCAAGATAAGACATGATTAAAGTAAAAAACACATTAACTACTTAAAGGTTCTCTACATACACTACCATTCAAAAGTTTGAGAGGTCAGTAATATATATATATATGCAGTTTAAGGCATGAATACTTATATTCAGCAAAAACTTTGAAACATTGAAGACTGGTGTAACGCTGCTAAAAATTCAGATTTGCCATCACAGAAATGCATCACATTTTAAAATATATTATAATAGAAAACAATAACAATATTTCACATTATTACCGTTTTTGATCAAATAAATGCAACCTTTGTAAGCATAAGAGACTTCTTTCAAAAACATAAAATCTTAATCACCTCAAACTTTTAAATGGTAGAATAATTATCAGACAGTATAATCTTGTCAAATATTTTAGTCTCATCCTAACATACAGTTACAGGTACAGATTTACATGCAGGTTCATGAGGCAGTAGACAGCTCACTATATTTCATGATACACAAAAAAAAATTACCTTTCTGTCACTAAGGCCTGTTACTTGGTCCACAAACTCCTCTTGGATCATAAAGGCAGCCAAGTTGGCAGTGTAGCTGGCCAGGAAAATCACAGCGAAAAAGGCCCATACGGACACTATAAATTTACTGGTAGTGCCCCTGGGGTTCTGTACTGGGACAGAGTTGTTGAACACTAGACCCCACAGCAGCCAGATAGCCTTACCAACAGTGAAGGAGGGCCCATGAGGGTCTATAGAAATGCAAGACAAGAAAGAGGGAAAGTTAATGAGTAGGAGTTAGGAGTAAGTGGGAAGTCATAAGAGCTTTGTGGATCTACAGGTTACTCAAGGTGCTTATTATTAAAATTTTTAATGCTGGGATTTTAACATTTTAACTACGTTTTCTGGCTGTTTCAAAGCAGACATTGGTTGACTGTGTGGTTGAGGTTGTGTACCATACCTTTGCCCTGTGCCAGGTTTCTATTGAAACCGAGCGGACTGATGAATTCAAAGAGGAAAACAGCGATTGCTGTGACGAGGAGTAACATGACGAACATCATAACCCACACTGAAGCACTGAAGGGTTCTGAGGGAGGAGAGAGAATAGAGAAAATGCATGGGGAAAGGCAGAGATAAAAAAAAAAAAACACTGGTTCCAGAGGGATTTCAAAGATATTATTTCATCTATTACCTAGAAACGCAGAGGGCGACACCGTTCCATTGCTACGTGACACCATCACACTGATGCCTGTCTCAACAAATGGGACAGAGAAGTCTATGGCCTCTGACCGCTCTT